CGAGGACAGGGCTAGAGGTCAGGGCCGAGGACAGGGCTGGAGGTGAGGGCCGAGGACAGGCCTGGAGGTGAGAGCCAAGGACAGGGCTGGATGTGAGGACCAAGGACAGGCCTGGAGGTGAGGGCCGAGGACAGGGTGCAGGTGAGGGCCGAGGACAGGGCTAGAGGTCAGGGCCAAGGACAGGGCTGGAGGTGAGGGCTGATGATAGGCATCAAGAAAAAGACAGAGAGGCAAGTGACCTCAGGAGCTGGAGGGCTCACAGAGGCAGCGGAAGCCACTGTCTTTCTCTGTCTCCATCTCAGGGTGGGATGGTGTACACAATGTGTATTGGGGTATCAGAAGCACGGGGATGGTGGGAAAAGCAGTGAAAACGCATGCCAGCCCCAGAGCTAGGGAACTCGCAGGCTTGAGAAACTACAAGTGTGGAAGGCTTGGGGACTAGAAGCAGGGTGCCTGGTCTCAGCTTCCACTCGAGACAACTCCCTTCTTCCCAGCAGTGTGGGGACCCTGCTGGTGATACACCTCTCAGGAGTTTCACCTCTCAGGATTCATGGAAACCATGAAATCTGAAATTCTTTTATTTTGGAAAACTATACATTAAATTTACCATCTGAGCTATAACCCAATTATAGCCCAAGAATATGGGGAAAGGGGAGAAGGAGAGGGAGGGGAGGGGAGAGGATGGGTGGAGGGAGGGTGATTGGTGATATCACGCCTATGGTTCATCTTACAAGGGTACATGTGAATCTTTCTAAATGTAGAATATAAATGCCTTAACACAATAACTAAGAAAATGACATGAAGGCTCTGTTAACCAGTTTGATAAAAATATTTCAGATTGTATATAGAACCAGCACATTGTACCCCATGACTGCATTAATGTACACAGCTATGATTTAATAAAAAAATTTATCATCTGAACCATTTTTGGTATACAGTTTAGTGGTATTAAGTACATTCAAACTGTTGAGTAACCATCACCACCCACCATCTCCAGAACAAGCACCCCAAACTGAAACTCTGTATCCATTAAACAACTCTCCACCCCTACCCCCAAGCAAGCTCCACTCCTTCTCTATAATTTTTTTCAAATTAACATGAGGCTACAATTACTTTACAATGTTTGCATTTGTCAGTTAAGGTCCCCATTGTAGTTGTGTACCTCAATATGCCCTTACATGGTGCTCGTTAGGTGGGAGCACACCAGTCCCCTTCTTCCTCCCCTCTCTCCCATCTTGAATTAAATTGAGTTTTTCTCTTATGTGGGCGTATATTAGTTCATCTGCTGGTTCATATTAATATTGAATACATAGGATACTGGCTTTTCCATTCCTTTTTTTTTTGAGACAGAGCCTCAAGCTGTCCTCCTGGGTAGAGTGCCATGGCATAGCTCACAGCAACCTCCAACTCCTGGGCTCAAGGAGTCTTCTGCCTCCGCCTCCCAAGTAGCTGGGACCACAGGTGCCTGCCACAAGGCCCGGCTATTTTTTCTTTCTTTTTTTTTTTTTGGTTGCAGCCATCATTGTTGTTTGGTGGGCCCCGGCTGGATTCGAACCCGCCACCTTAGGTGTACGTGGCTGGCGCCTTAGCCACTTGAGCCACAGGCACCGAGCTGGCTTTTCCATCCTTCTGATACTTTACTAAGGAGAATGTTCCCCAACTCCATCTAGATTTGTCTCTGTGAATTTGACTAGTTCGGGTCCTTCCCGTAAGTGAAGTCATACAGTATTTGTCCTTTTGTGGCTGGCTTATTTCACTCAGCACAATGTTCTCAATGTTCATCCCCATAGTAGCAGGTATCAGAATTTCCTCCCTTTTAAGGGTGAACAATGTTCCACCATGTACAGACCACATTTTGCTTATCCATCCATCGGGTGATGACACTTGGGCTGTTTCCACCTTGGGGTACTTTGAATACCTGGGTGCACAAATATCTCCTCATGTTCCTGCTTTTGCTTCTTTGGGTAATCCCAGAAGTGGAATTTCTGGAACAAATGGCAATTCTGCGTTTAATTTTTTTAGGAATGGCCATACCAAAAAGTGGCTATACTATTTTCCATCACCACCAGCAATGCACAAGAGTTCCAATTTCTCCACATCTCAGTCAACATTTGTTGTATGTCTTTTTTTCTTTTGTTTAAGATAGAGAATCTTGCTGGTCACCAACTCATGAGCTCAAGCAATGCACTGGCCTTGGCCTCCCAGAGTGCTGGGATTATAAGGGAGAGCTACCTCACCCAGCCTTCATTGTGGTTTTGAAGAAAAGGATTTTTTTTTTTTTTTTTGAGACAGAGCCTCAAGCTGTCGCCCTGTGGCATTACAGTTCACAGCAACCTCCAACTCCTGTACTTAAGCAATTCTCTTGTCTCAGCCTCTGGAGTAGCTGGGACTACAGGCGCCCGCCACAACGTCCGGCTAAGACACAGTTTTTTACAGCGTAGGGGACAATCCATCAGGCTAGGTCTTTCTTCACCCAAGAACTTGACTCTCAGCCTCCTGTTTTCTTTCTCCACCTGCATTTTAGTCACTGCTTAATAGTCAACTCTGCTGCTTGTTAGTCTGGCAAAAAGGTTTTATGGGTAACAGATTCTAAAATTGCTGTATCCTCAATACACACCTATAATAGCACCTGGCACATAGTAAGACCTTCATAAATATCTGTTAAACAAACCAAAATAGACTTATTGGCATAAGACTGAATGTATGTTTTCCACCCCAACGGGTAACCAAGCCAGCTTCATCAGTGCAGTGGGTGATAACTGGGGAAATGCGAAATTAATATCATCACCATTTCACTTTTACTAATTAGGCATGGTTTGTAGGTATAAATCACAACACCCATCAAGTTTTCTTTAAAAAGGTGATCTTCTGTTTATTTTCTTGAGACAAAGTCTCACTCTGTCACCCTGTGTAGAATGTAGTGGCCTCACTCTAGCTCACAGCAACCTCAAACTTCTGGATTCAAGCAATCACCCTGCCTCAGGGTTCCAAATAGCTGGGACTACAATTGCCCACCACCATGCTGGCTAGTTTTTTTATTTTTAGTGGAGATAGGGTCTTGCTCTTGCTCGGGCTGGTCTCAAACTCCTGAGCTCAAGCAATCTTCCTGTCTTGGCCTCTCAGAGTGCTAAGATTATAGGCGTGAGCCACCATGCCACCCCCTCCTTTTTGAGACACGGTCTATGTTGCCCAGGCTGGCTTCAAAATCTCAAGCTCAAGCAATCCTCACACCCCCAGCCTCCTGAGTATCTGGGACTACAGGTGCCCACCACCACACACAGCTATTTATTTTCTTACCAGTTCCTCTGAATATATAAGCTGGGATGAAATAACACACTTAATTTTATTCAATATTTAACTAATTATGTTCAGATTTCCTTAATTTCTCTCCAATGCCTTACATTTGGTGGTCCTGCGTCCTTAGGCTCTCTCTGGCTGGGAGTCTCTCAGACTTCCTAACCTTGATGGGAGAGCTGGTCGGGTCTTTTGATTCTGGCTGTGTTCTGTGTGAGGTTATTCTCATGGCCACAGCGGGGTCTGGGAGGACCACCACAGAGGTCAAGTGCTTTGTCCTGCTATCCTACCAGGCGCTCCCTGGAGACAGTGCACCTGCCAGATATGTGTCCCTACCTTACACACAGGCTCATTTGCATCTCTGGGAAACCATCTCTGGTTTTATTTAGATCTTTATTTAGAAAGTGTTGAAAATAACACTTAGACTTCTAAGCTGAATTCTTTAAACAAATGACCATGATTTTTTTTTTTTTTAAATAGTTTCACTCAAGACTGTCAGGCCCCTTAACTCTTTTCTGAAGTCAGTCCTGGCTCAGGGTCCAGGGCATGCAGGGAAAGTTTCGTCCACGTTCTGGAAACTTAGTTTACTATAAAATGAGTTTAATTCGCACAACACGTGACTCCCTTGTCACAACCATCCCAGAGAGCTCTTAATGCTATTCTCCTAAGAGTACAGCTAACACGCCCAGGCCCTGCCCTTCTCGTCCCTCCGGAAGCAATGCTCACTTTCCACACAGCAGGCCGCATCCTGCCTTCGGTAAAGTGTCCCAGGTCTCACACATAGAAGATACCGGCAAAGACCTCTGCCACCCTCTCGCTGCCTACGTCGCTAAGGCGTGGAGCTTGGTTGGTGCTTTCCACTGAAGATCACTTATATTTCGAGGGCTCCAGTCTAAACCAGAGAAGGCTCAATCTGGGACCCCAGGAACAGATGTCGCAAGAGAACGCTGGCGAGTGAGTGTCTCCCCGGCCCGCCGGGTCCCCACTTCTGCACTGGCCCGACCACGGCAAGCAGCTGGAACCAGCGCGTCCGCCTCGCCTAGGGTCCCGGACCCCCGCGCCGGCCACGGCCACGGCAGGAGGTCCGTCGCCCTTTCTGGGCAGGTACTGGGTCCCCGCCACTTCAGGAATGCTTTAAAGAGGAAGGACCCTCGGCGGCGAGTGGGTGCGGGCCCCTGGATACATAAGCTCCAGCCTGGATACAAGGACAGGGGGCGCGAGGTTGCAGACGGAGTAAGAAGGCCTGGGAACGCAGAAAGAAGTCAGCTGGAGAAACCGTACAAAACTGAGCAAGGCCTCTCCAGGCGTTGCGAGGGGAGAACACCGGAGGCGACAAAGCCACCTGCTATTCCCAGGCCGCGCTCTTAGGTGCGCCGGCGATCAGGGCCGCGTCCCACCCGTGCTCGGGCCGGGCGTGGGGCCCCCGAATCACACTGGCGCGGAGCCGCGACCCCCACACTCCCACCTGCGGCCCAGCCCCCGTCCCGCCCCACCCCGCCCCGCCCGGCGCTCCCCTCCCCCTTCCAGCCTGGGGCCCGCCTTACCTCGTCGCTTGGCGCGCACGATGCCCTTCTTCTGCAGCACGAACGTGGACCCGTTCACCAGGCTCGACACGACGGCCACGCCCAGGCCGAGCGACACGGCGGCGGGGCTCGGGCTGCGCGCCCCCTCCCCGGCCGCCGCC